TTTCAACTTCAACTTCTACCTTCAAAACTATACCTTTTCATTTTTCATGGACTTCATCATTGTCCCCACAATTCTTATAGAGTTTGAGTAAGTCGATGTGCGGGGATCCGCCCCGAAAATCAATTTACTCAAACTTTAAGTGGGGGTCCTACCCTTTCTTGGCTCATTAGTGAAGATGACCAGAGCCATGGCTCTATGCATCTAACCCATGCTGCAGAGATGTGCTTCGAATAACCCTGGAATGTGGCCTACATCAAAATCAAAACCCACCCAGCCCAAAATAACAAACTTCCTTGTTGAGCGTCCTCGCATGTTTGATATTTAGACTAGTAGTGTTTTAAAAGAAAAGAGTGAGAAAAAAAGAGATTCAAAAAAGAGAAGGAGCTGGTTTATGCTTTCACAAACGCACACTGGATAAATCTTGTAAGGGAGTCTTCTTTGGCTGGCTAAAGTAAAACCTAATTGGAAGTATATACTGTAGAATAGCAAAAGAGATACGTAACTAACTTATTTTGTTTGAATGCTGTTTCTTAACATTTGACAAGTTTCGCAAAAAAGCGAAGAACTTCGCGCCAAGCAGACATAAACATCCTATCTCATGTATAAATTTTATAAAATAAACTCTTGAAATTACATATAAATAAAGTAACCCACGTGTCTCATAAATGTGCAGTTTGTCGGACTGTATGAAGATGATATGGCTGAGTTGAAAAAGCTTTTTCCTCGGCAGGGATTGCTCTTACCTACAATCTTTTGCATGCAGCAAACTTGATCAGGACAAAAGACCTCGCAGATCACTAAATGCGTCTATTTCCTCCGATAAATATAATATTTGTATAATAGAACCTTAAATAGAATTAACTTACATCCTTGATCACATCTAGACTCGTCGCAGATCAACGGTTTATTTGCTGAACATGTGTAGTCAATAATCCATGTGTCAGATGTGGCGGTATCAAACCCTACCTAAGAAGAATTATACCAAACAGGCTTTCTACTAATGTTCGAGAAATATCTAAGGCATCTTACCCGGAAGGATTGTGCTGGCGTACCGACAGTAATGTTGCCGATATATTCCATATCGTGGTAGTCATACAGCTAAAAAAGAGAATGTGAAAAAGAATCTATATCCAAAATTATTTTTTATTCCAAGATTCATTGAAAGTCATTGAATTGATAAATTCATTGCTTCACTTCAATGGAATAGATTAGCGTATAAAGTCACAGGCATATCTTCTACGAATTTAGAATAATTAAAAATAGATCTAAAATGACATCCAATTTATTGCTCAAACAGTTTTTCACTCCACACACACAATACATACTTTCCACTATAGATATATCAGGTTGGGCGTTGTCCACTTTTTTAAGCCTTGCTTATACGTCAAGAATTTTTGCTTGTCGGGTTATGACAAATTTCTTGAGGCAATCCCTATTGTTTTCGTCGCTACTGCAGAAGAATGTAGAATAGCGCACATGGGAGCTGTTGACACGCTGATAGTGGTTACAAACGAGCAATAAATTTGGATAAAAATCAAATCTGAGAGCTAGTAAAAGTTTTTCCCTATTTGTTCCATCTGATTATCAGTATACCGGTTATGTAGCTACATACACACGTTGTTGTGAATGCTACTTCAATATTCTAATCCTTAGCATTACTGTTTCGTCCTACACTGCAGTAATTCGTGATGCTGCCTTATATACCTGGTTTACGCACAGTCTCTAACCTGTACCATCCCTAGCCAGAAAAACGAGTGGTGTTTTGATGTATGTAAAGTAAACTTTTCGTAAACTAGGGTATGTAGGTCGAGACCTCACATTACTCTACTTTCTTTGATCCTATTTACTTTCTCAAACATGCACTTACGATAAGGCCAATCCTACCATGCACACGATTTTAATGATTGTCACTGAATTACTCCATTATTCATCCTCTAAACGGTTACGACCTTGATCCCCTATCGCATACTTACAGTACTCCATAGTGACCTATTGAGCCACCGCATTAAGTGAAAAAAATGAACTAATGATAAACATATAAAGGGATCTTGTTATCTCACAAATGATGTGACAATCTGAAGCAAGAGAAACATGGATATTAATGAAAATGTACTTACATCTTGTGAATACCCGTCTTGTGCTGCAAGAGCTTTTGGCATAGCACGTGCTGCATTCCTCTCCTTCACATATGCTGCCCACGTTCCAGCGCGAAGCATTTGTACCATTTTGGGTTCTATTTTTACTAATGGCACTTGGTAAACTGCTGCCTGAGCAGTGCATTCTATGGCAAGTAGGGCAATGAATAAGAAGTTCATTTGGCTGAAATTTTTAAAGTCGTTGCCTCAGAATTATAAAGTATGAGTAGTTTTGTCGAAATCTACGTCAGCATCCCAGAAAAAGCATTTAATGAGCAGAGCTTGGGAAGTGCGAGCAGTAGATAAGAAGCTAGGATCGGAATAAGTTACTAAAAAAACTGCCTTTTTACTCGTTCATAAGTATAGTGCAAGTCACTTTGGATAACTATAGAAATTGCTTCACTAGCTTCAGGAAGCCCCAAGGCAATTTTTGAAAAGGGAGAAAACCCATCAGGCGTTTATATTAATATACACGTAACTTTTACGAACG